TCTGAGCTTTCGGGCTCTTGCGGGAGTCCATCGTCAGAGATAAAAGCGTCCGGAGAAAAGGGTGCACGATGCCCGATATCTCCGCGACAAATTCATGCGAAATGGTTATCTTAAAGAATTTATAAACCGATGCCTACGCGTACGGTCCCGAAGGACCTAACTAAAAGAACCACCGAGGATATCGCAAGCTCTGCCATACATCAATGAGGTCTCAGAAGCAATCGAGCGCATCGTTGCGGGGCTAGGCATCAGAATTGCACACCGTCCCAAGGCTACCATGCGCAACCGGGTACTGAAAATAAAAGACCAAGTGAATCCCAAGGAACAATCCGGAGTAGTGTATAGCATCCCATGCTTAAGCTTTCCTTGTAACTATACAGGCAAACTGAACGCATGCTCGGTTCGCGCATACACGAACATAAGCTGGCTGTCAGACGGGATGACGCATTGTCGCATGTGGCGGCCCACACCTACGAGACAGGTCACGAGTTTCACTTCGCAGCTACGAAGATAATCTTCCACGCCGGCAGCAAGACGGGCCAATAATTGCTTGAAGCCTGGGCCTCGGAGGAGGATTGATTCAATCGATCTATCGATCTGGCGCCAGCATACATCGTTCTCTGCAGGTGTATTCGCACGGCCGACACTGGTGATTGATAAGTTCCCGCCCCCTCCCTTCATATAACCGTTGATTGGTTCCTGCCCCCTACAACTGTTGCTTGCTTTTCGTGGACGCTTTTATCTCGGAAGATGGACTCCCGCAAGAGCCCGCAAGCTCAAAACAATAAAAAAGTTTATCCAGGGCTCGACAACCCCTCTTCCTCATGCATGCAACCACTCGGAACACAAACGGTTTCATTCATTCGTATCTTGGGAGTGCTCTGCACTTTCTTATTCTCACCTCATTCTTATTACAGCCGCAAAAGTCAAAGAAACCTTCAGAACCACGCCGGTGTCCAGCAACGAGCTCCAATAATCGGATTTCCCGCTCACGCTGCTCAAGAGAAAAGGGTACAGGCAAAGAGGGCGAAGAACGCGAAGACTTTGTTGACGTGGAAGGCGGAGAGGAGGACAGTGAAGCCCTGGGGCCTGGTGGCATCACGCATTACGTTCCAGACACCTACGGAGAGAGCTCAGACAGCTCAGAGGACGCCTCCTGGAGTCCACGCAATTACTTTGGATATCGAGGCCACCTTGGGATCGAGTTCTTCACTGACAACTCAATGACCGCTTATCCCCGCAATCCCTTCGGTATTAACGCCCTGCAAAAACGTACCATGAACTCGGGCCGGAATACCATAAGATTCTAGGTCGCTCTGCACGCAAAAACCACCCCCGCCCGTATTTGTCTGTGTGTGTTTCTGGCCGGTATTCTTCCCCTAAAAGATTCCATTGTTGGTCTGATCCCCAGCCTCCTTCAGACCGCCAGTGCGCTGGTCCCGAATAATGTCGTCTTTTACTCATCTGCGTCTTTCACGTCCTGAAAGGCCTAGCAACTATGAGCTGCTATTTAAAGTTTGCTGTGCTGTTAACAAATAACAATTTGTGCGAGGCTTACCACCTGGTTTGGCTTCTCTCCTTCTGCTTTATTCAAACTCAACGCTCGGGCTTGGAGAACAGAGAAGTTCGAAACCACGGGGCTAGTCCCTTTCCACAGCCTGTGGTAAAATTCTAATTTGGGTCCCAAATCAGCACGCGAAAGCCCCATCTTTCTGTTATACAGGACTGGGTGTACTAAAGAGTATGCAGTAGATGGACTATCTCATGCAATCCTACCATTTTTACAAGTAACTCCCTCGTACTCAAATGCAGCCCAAGCTGTGGCCCCCAAAGTCTTACAGCAATAAACTTATGATCGTT